TTCTTGTTCATTATCAATAGATGTTTATTTTTATTCAGCTATTTAATATTCCGCACTCTGAATTTGATAATGTAATAATGCATTTCTAAGAACTCTTGATGTATGAAATGGACTAAGTATTATAACTCGTTTTCATTATTGGATCCTTGGGGAAAATGTGGACTATTCGGGCTCTCCCTTGGGGTGTGCCTGACGGAACCTGCCCGCTGTAGCTTGCTTTTCGGGGTGCTTAGTGTCAGATGGAAGACGAGCGCCTCCGTAAGTGCGTTATTTCGGACGGTTCTGCCACAGTGGTAACAGGCGTAAACTCCCGCAACGAAGCCGCCTCCAACATAAAAGAGAGTAACTCCTGTAATTATGTGGATTGAGTAGCAAAACCACTCTGTCTCGTCTCAGCTCACGCCACGCCACGCCCACGCCCACGCTCGGCCATGGCCTTGCAGCGTGCATGCACACCACATCCTTTTCATGACTTCTCAATATATATAGACAATATCCAACCATATAAACCGAGTCAATGTTATGTCAAAACCCTGTACGGTATTAAACCATATATCACGCATTGTTACGGGCCATAGAGTTTATTTAATTTATTAAATATTATATGAGCCAAGCCCATAATATATCAACAATCGATTCGGTGTTTACGAGAGCCATGAAGCATGATGCACGAAGATATAAAATAATAATAATAATCAAGCTACAATAGTCAACGTATTAGACAGCTTAGGTCTTTTTGCCACACAGATGCTAGGTATATATAATAAGCTACTAGTAAACATATACATGTACATTGCAATGAGACATACAACTTGTTGCATGGTTACTTTGATCTGTTTAAGCCAATTATAATGAGCTAACTATCTTTATTAGATCTAACCAGGCTTTGCCTAACATTATTTCACTAAATCAAATAAATTTTAAGGCTCATAACAAACAATAATAATAAGGACTAATCCAGTATGGAAAAATGATTGGAGACTGACTCACCTCGAATATGCGTTTAATCGTATGTATTTATTGTGAGGTTAAAAAACGTAAATGACAAGCTATAATCCCCCATGCTGAGTTAGGCTTGATCGGCTAGGCACCACATGAGCGCCAAGCCACCAACAAACTTTTGCAGCTCAAAAGAAGAGGTTGGACATGAGGAAATAGGGACAATTGTCTGTTGGACATCCAAAGTGATGGTCCTTTGCTGGTGGACACCCACTTTGGAGCATTTTGCTAGAAGACACTCTGGTTCGGTGAAATTAGGCCACAGGACATCGAAGACCGGTTGAGGCGAGAGAACAGCGGTGAAATGACATTCTTGCTCCTGCCGCTTTCTTCTTTCCATCTCCCTTTATCTTTTTTTTTTTCTGTTTCCTGTCGCGACGGAGGGCGTCTTCTTCGCACGGCGCGGCGGTAGTGTTGGTGGCGGCGAGGGGTGGCGTGTGCAGTGTCGCCGGGTGCTGATGGCAGCGAGGGGTGGCGCGTGAGTGGCGCGTGGAGTGCCGCCTCGTTCACGAACGTGCCAAGCCAGACAGAACGTGCGCGGAGCAGGGCGACGGCCTCGAACATGGAGGCGCCGCCGGTGACGAGGTCATCGACGACGAGCAAGGTCTCGGTGGCCTCGTTCCAGAGGGGTCACGGCGCTGCGGTGTCGTCGCTCGAGCTGGCCTCCTTCTTCCACTTCTTGTCGTCGGGCGGAGATCTGCTGGCACGCCGTCTTGCCACGCCGCCCCATCGCGCCCGCTCCACGCCGGTGTGGTCTTGGCTGGCGCGCACCGCCTTGCCGCCCGCCCCGTCGTCCCCAACACCCACATTTCATGGCCGCCCGCCGCCCACGCGAACGGCCGTGCTGGCCCCACCCCGTCATTCCGTAGGGTGCACGCCGGTACCACAAGTCGAAGACGCTAGCTCCGCTTTAGTGGCTTCAGTGTATGTGGCTTTGTGATCCGTTCTCCGTCAAGCTGCTGCTCTTGCGAGTTCCTCAGGTGATCTGGCAACAGCGGCAGCCACTGCGACATCGCGCTGAGGGCAACGTCACGGCCGTGTGAGTAACTCTGGGCATAATTAACCGAAGACCGAAGACCGAACCAAAAAGACCGAGACCGAAAAGACCGAGACCGAAAAGTTCGGTCATGAGTTCGGTCCTGGCTCCCAACTAACCGAAGTAACCGATAGAAGTTCGGTCATATGTGTCGGTTAACCGAAGTGACCGAATTGACCGTAGTTCTGTAGACTTCGTTCGTAATGTCATTATGTGTGATTGTGATTTGTGAGAACCGAGAAAGTTGTGTGCTAGAACTTGTCATAATAATGTGTGGTTTGTTTTATATATTGTGTTGTTATTTTTTTGCCTTCAAATAGCAAGCATGCTGTTGAAAATTGCTATAGATTCTGCTATTGTTTGTGGCTGCTACTCAGGTCCGGTTAGTTCGGTCGTGACCGAGACTGAACCGAACTAACCGAGACCGAACTTCCTTGGTCTTCGTTTTTTGCAAAGACCGATCGGTCCTAGGTTTCTGATGACCGAACTGACCGAATGACCGAGGAACCGAACCGATCGGTTCGGTCTGACCGAATGCCCAGGGTGACGTGTGAGTCTGAGAGACGGCCTGATTCGGTCGCACGGAGGACAGCGACGGGGCGGGGCCAACGCATCTCGGCCGGATCCACGTAGAGCTTGAGCGCCTGTGGCATCTCAGCCCACAGCGCGTCCGCCTCCTTGCCGTGGGCCTCTACGAAGCCCAGGAACGCCCTAGAGTCCTCTTCACGCGTAGGCTCTCGGCGAGGCCCTCGGCAGTCACGGCGTCGGAGGGTGAGGGGGCGTCGATGGAGGCCTCCCGATGGTGGTGCGCGTGTCGAAGGCCCTACGGCAGACGTAGAGCCAGAGTGGCTGTGGTCGGCGGCCGGCTCGTCGGCTGCCGAGGAGCCCAAGCAACCGGTGCCGGTGCCGACGTCGGCTGGACTGCGGGGACAGGAAACAGAAAAAAGAGAAAGGGAGAGAGGAAGAAGAAAGCGGCAGGGGCAAGAATGTTATTTCACCGCTGTTCTCTCTCCTCAATCGGCTGCAACCGGTCCGCGGTGTCCTGTGGCCTAATTTCACCGAACTAGAGTGTCTTATGGCAAAATACTCCAAAGTGGATGTCCGTCGGCAAAGGACCATCACTTTGGATGTCAATATACAATTGTCCCAAGAAAATAAGAGAGGTAACGACCCTACGATGGACAGACAGAGGAGACAATGGCGATGAACCAAAATGAGGACACGAGGAAGGGAGAAAAATCTTCTTTAAATATTAAATATTAGATGTATATATAAATTAGGGTATAGGAGTATTATATTAGCATGGCCGTTTAACTGTGTGTCCCCCGAGTGGTCGCACGCCCATACGGGCCAAGGATGCCTCTCAGATTTCTGAAAAGAGCTATTTTGGAGGAAATGCTATAGTCGATTTAATTGTTCAAATTTTTTTCTATGTATTATGATTTATGAGTGTGTTGGTAGGGTACTAGATTCTCGTAGAAATGTTTATCCAAATTCTCTTGAGAAATGTTCTATAGTGAATCATAACCATTTTATAGAACGGTTTGGCTAGCTTGCTGAAAATTCTTAAAACTGAACTAGAATCGGAAGAAACCAAATTTTGGTTGTTTATATATACTAGTAAAAATGAGTATCAGTAAGTAATTCTCTCCAAAATATTTCTCTCTATGGTGTTTGACAACTATTCTTATGATTCTACCAAAATCTAAATGTCTTTTGCTACCATATACGCATTATACATGTACAACACAAAGCTTGCTTGATGTGCACTACCTTTTCAACCTCTAATTCGATAGTCGGGCTTGGGCCTCCACAGTATAGCCTCAGGGTCTTCGTATATAAGTGGGTTTCTGAGTGAGAAGTTGTGTGTTATTGGGCCGACAGATAGGCAATTGATCAGGCAAAAGTCTCTTGCTCTTGAGAAACTAACAAAGGCACATCCACTCAAAAAAAAAAAAAAAAAAAAAAGGCACGGCTACGCGGGCTGATCTAAATCGAGCTACATAAACCTTTCGACATATGCCCATGTCAATTCAAGAAAAAGAAGATTGAACCCACACACGGCCTAACCAACGTGTTAAAATGTTGTGTCCCTTTCTTTTGCTGACAAGGAGAAACACTTTTCTTTTCTAAAGAAGAGAAACAACTTTCTATGACTTGCATGTTAAGATACCCACTCATAGTCGCATCTACCTACAAAATACTGATACACGTTTTTGAATTTTGTTAGGCATACACGTTTGAGAATTAGAATGAGTAGGAAGACTCGACATGAAGGCTAGCCGCCCAGTGGTGTAGTATGTAGTGATAATATAAGTGCCCCGCTCCGAAAACAAGAAAGCGAGGACCTATCTTCTCTTCCGTTCGGCTTACTTTATAATTCGCACTATTCAGCTTGTTTTTTCAGCTGTAATAATATTTTTCTCTCACAACAATTCAGCCAGAACAATGTTTTTCAGCCAATTCAGTTAAGTTTCAGCAAGCCAAACGAGGCCAAACTAGAAGTCGGTGTAGTAGCTATTTTTGGTGTTACCAGTTCTAGCTCATGCGCACACTACAGCAAGGAGTCAGAAGCCATGTGAAGTCATGCTAAATAGGACCTTAGTCGAACAAAAATTGTTTGTGAGCCTTGGTGGACGGAGAAGGTTGGATATGCAGGGGCCATTGGACTGTGGACGGGAAAGTGCGGGCTGGCCTCGTCGTTTGGGATAAAAGTCGGGAGGCGCAAGGAAATACGTGTCCTGAGAGATTTAGTCCAGAATCCTCGCCAGCTCAAGGTTGGGAGCACCAAGCCCCGTGAAAATATGGGTTGCGACGGGAAATTGAACACACATAAATTTTGAGAACATTTTTTTTTATTGTTGGAGTGCATGCTCCATTTCTAAAGTTAGTTTTAATTTAGAACTACTTTTGGGCATTGTTGAAGATGTTCTTAGAATCTATTTGATATCACTTTAGCTCTACCATGCCACCGCAGGTGGATAGCAGCTTTGTCTTCATAGAAAACGGCTCTCGCTCCTCTATCGTCTAGGCCAGAAGAACTTCTAGGGCGTTGTGGTGCCGCAACTGATGCGGAGACGTGCCACAGACACACATCTCCAATTGTTTTTCTAAATAATAGATAAAACAATAAGTTTTTTCAAGCCGCTAAAAAATAAAGAGCATATTTATTAATTTTCTCCAACCATTTTAAATATCTCCGAAGCTATCTTCAATCACCTCAGTCAAATCACCCTAATCAAGATAAATACCCCGTTCGCTGGTCTGAACTTTGACTGAAACTGGCTGAAAAACACTGTTCCAGCTAAATTGTTGTGAGAGAAAAACACTGTTCCGGCTGAAAAAATAAGCCGAACAAGCCAAATAGTTGTTGAAGAAAGTTTTTTTTCAATCAACCAAAAAGTAAAGTAGGTTTTGGAAATTCTTAAAGATCCTCTAATGACGAGTTATAATAATGGAAGTAGATAGAACTTAGAAGCAAAAGGAAAACAGAAAAAAGTATCAAGTGTCATGACAAAAGAAAGAAAAAGAAAAGGAAAAGAAAGGGGAAACCGAGAATGGAGAGTAATCCCTACCGTACCTGCTGCGTTTATTAGACGGTTGGCTTTCTCGTAAACGATTGTAAATTTCTAGCTGAAAATAGTATTTTACTCCAACATCACACCAATATAATCCGCGATACGCCTACCTGTCTCGCTGTTTTCCTTCGGTTCTCCCGTTCCACGTTCCACCTCGGCTGGCCCGAGAGTCCGAGAGCAATACTATAGCGCGATTCACGATTCGGACGTTTTCTGCATCAACGGGGTCCCAGCGGGGCCAGGCGACTGAACACGCCCTTGGCAACCGCCACCGCCGCCGCCGCCGTACTCAAGCTGCCCAGGTCTTCGTCCGACCCTTTGCCGGCGACGAGCACCCACCACACTAGGTATGCCCGCCCGCACCCCTCCCTTGCCTTCCTTCTGTGCAAAACGGAGCACCAAACCCTAATCTGAGCTATTTGGCTTTCTGTATTCGGATCTGATCTAATAAGTGTAAGTGTGTGCATGTATTATGCCTACTAACTTCGTTTTTTGGCAAAAATTATCGGGTGTAGTACACCCCCGTCCTATATTGGCGGGTCCGCCCCTGCGAGGACATATGGAATCATCCGTCTTCAGTGACGCGGTGCTTCTTTAGACTTTCAGTTTTCAGTCCATGCGACATTAATTTTTGTTCCTTATTTTTATTTGAATGCATGCTACTTGATGTCTGCAGGATTTCGGCATGGTTGATTCTGTTCATGACAACATTGTGCTGAACAAGTGTATCAAGGACATCCTTGCACTAATCAAACCAGTAGAGGATGATAGAAGCAAGCGGCTATCCACAATTCAGGAGCTGGAAAATTGTATCCATTCTCTTGCATCTCTGTCAGGTAACTTATATTTGTTTCTGTTACAATTGAGACCTTCTCAATTGTGTTTAAACTTCCACCTGTGACTCTGATATATTAGTTAAGGTGCAATGATGCCACTTTTGACACTGAAGCATGAATATACTTTGCTTGCAGTACTGAAGATAAATGTTTTTCCCTGCATGTGCATGTTGTATTGTGGATTTTCATGGTAAATTACTGAAATAAATTCAATTATTCATAGTATAATATATATATGTGGAAGTTAAATCACAATCTCTGTTGTGTTCATAAAGAGATATTAAGTTATTTGTCGACACAATAAAGAGTAAAATCTATATGTGGTAAGCATTGTTCAGTGAAGTCCACACCATGTTGCATATGAATAGTTTGAAAAATACTAATATGGAAACACGAGGATTGATAAGCTTGTGAAATTCGTAACTCTAAAAGAATAGGTTTATTTGCATGGCAAACAATGGTATCTCCACTGCTGTAGCCTCTGTTGGCAATGGCATTATACAAGTAGCCTATGGCAGTAGACAACAGTTTGTTTTGTCATGCTACAGCTAATGTCGATCCTTATCGTTACACAGTACTGGGCTAGATGGTGACAGTAGCAGGTTATTGTATTGCTAGAATGGAGCTGCAAAAACATTAAATGATGGACTTAATAAGCTGAGAAGTTTCTTTTCCCGCTTTGTACTATTCTTAACCAACGCATCAGTATTTGGGGTATCTTGATGATATAGGAAAAGTTCAATACATTTAATAACTGTAATGTTTTTTATGTCTCTCTTTAATGGATTTTATTAAAATTTTCCTTTAACAGGTGCTGCTGTGAAACCTTTTGGATCCTTTGTATCAGATCTTTACTCAAAATCAGGCTTAACTTAGATTTATCAGTTCAGCTCTGGAATGGTTCAAACCACCCTATAAACAAGAGAAAGAAGCAGAATACCTTGAGAGAAGTTAGGAAAGCTTTACTAAGTCGAGGTAGTCTTTGTTATATTGCTCTCAAGATAGATAAACATGTATGCTTTACTGCACATTCAGCATCCATGAAATAGCTTTAAGCATCATGATATACTTGTGCTATCCTAGACTTTGTGGCAAAAGAGTGATATTTTTGTGCCATGGTTGCTTGATTCACTGGGATAGGAACCACCAATTGGCATATCTCCATAACTATTACAAATCTTTCTCATTTAGACTTGGTTTTATTGCTTTTATTTCTTCAGGTGTTACTGGATACATGCAGTTCATTCCACATGCAAGAGTTCCAGTCCTTCAATATGTCAGCAACCGCTTTGGCATCTCCTGTGATATATCAATTGACAACTTTGTTGGTCGGATTAAGTCCAAAATCTTCTACTGGATCAATACTTTAGATGAGCGGTTTGGTGATATGGTTTTGCTGGTATGATCTAGTTAGCCAAGAGTTTTTGCTGCCACATTTTTTGTTGGTAACTTGAATGTTCCGCATCATCTTTCCTTCCAGATCAAGGAATGGGCAAAAGCTCAAAACATTAACGATCCAAAGAGTGGGTCCCTCAACTCTTATTCACTTTGCCTACTTGTCCTCTTTCATTTTCAGGTGTTATTTCTTGTACTTAAGTATTTCTCTATGCGTTCTTACTCATTTATGGTTTCACTAAATTCCTTGCTTATCCTTATGCTCTTTATCTTGGATTTTTTAGACATCCGAGCCACCAATTCTACCACCTCTGAATGAGATTTATGAAGGGAACATTACAGGAGATGTTACAGGTTAAATGAATTTTTCTTTATGTCCGGTGATTGTCTCGAATGTCAGTACCTAGTTTTTAACTCAATACATTCACATGCAGAAGCGGCACTTTATAATGACCAACATCTTGATGAGGTTTGTGCTGCAAATATAGCAAGATTTAGACTCCAGAACAAGGGCTGAAGAAATGAATCTTCTATTTGTTGTCTACTTGGAACTTTTGTTCAAAAGGTACTGAACATTGAGGTCCCACTTTTGATGACTGAGATATTTTGTGATTATTGTGGGTACTACCTTTTGCTATTCGCATCTTGGTAAAATATGAATTCATGTTTCTGGATGCTTTACCTTTTATCTCTATTAGTCCCATTGACTTATTGCCAAGTCCATCTAGGGTCCATTTAAAGCTCTTCACCATTATTAGCTTGATGAAGGGTTGAATAAAATTACCTGGTGGATTTAAAGTTTTGGATTATTGCAACACCCTGTCTCTGAATAAAATTTAAGTAATTCATTAAATATCTTTTATAGCTATAACACAAAATTTTTGTTATAATTGGTTCGATTCCCCTATGCCAGCTAGATTCTTCAACATAACAGCGCAACAGCCTATTCCAAGCTAGCTGCCCTATATTTGCCCCGTGAGGTTATTGGTTTAAAATTTTGAGTCCACCAAGGTAACTGTTAAGTCTGTACAACCCATGAATTCCACTGATCTTTTTAGGGAATAACACTGACATAATTGGGGTATTATTTATCTGGGTAGCAAAAGTATACAACCGTTCAAATGTCAAAATGCGCTGCAGCATTAATTTATTTATTAACCCAAGAGAAAGAAACTTAGATTGGTTATATCATGTCCTGACCGGTGCTTTTATTACTTGCAGTTTGCTCGTATCAATGCCTTTACGGATAGTGTCATATCAACTTACTCAGGCCAGATTGGGCGAATCCAGGACGACCCAAGTTGGATGACGAAATCTTACCATTTATTTGTAAGAATGCCTGTGCATTTGGTGGTTGTTGCTTATCTTAATTTTATCCTATGCACTTACAACTTACATCCCATTTCTTTGCCATCTTTTGTTTAGGTTGAAGATCCAGTTGAGAGACCTGATAATGCTGCTAGAGCAGTTAGTATGAAAGGCCTTGACCGCATTGCTAGTGCATTCAATGATGCTTGTCACAAGTTTTACTCCCTGGAACATATTGACCGGAATGGGGCGCTGTTGTGTACCCCTGTTGTTGGCTTGAAACTTGGTGGGAAAGTCATAGCAAACCCTTACCCAAAAACTCCACAAAGGAATAATCAGCATACCAGAAATGGAGGACGGGCTGGGCGTGATCAAGGTCAAGCACCCAGAGCCAGAGGGTTTGCTGGAATCAGATCAGTCCATAAAGACCCACTAGCGAATACTGCACATGAAACAGCAGTACAGTATCGCAACCATCCGCAGGCTACAACAGTTCGACAAACAGCCATACCATACACAGGCCGTAATCTACAAACTCATACTACAGTGCATCAGACCATGCCTTACCAGAATCATATTGTTCCACAGGTGTATCCTACTTGGCCCCAAACAGCTGAACCGTACCAGAATCATAATAAGCAGGTTTATGCTACTGGGTTGCAAACAACAGCCATACCATACACAGGCCGTAATCTACAAACTCATACTACAGTGCATCAGACCACGCCTTACCAGAATCATATTGTTCCACAGGTGTATCCTACTTGGTCCCAAACAGCTGAACCGTACCAGAATCATAATAAGCAGGTTTATGCTACTGGGTTGCAAACAGGGCCATACCAAAGCCATAATCAGGTCTATGCTTCAAGATTCCAAACAGGACCATACCAGAGTCGTCGTCATCAGGTTTATAGAGCACCCGGAGGAACATATCAGATCCACAATCGGCAGGCGTATAATGCAGGGTTCCAAACCGACAGTCTGCACCAGAATCAGCAGCGGCGAAAGGGATATACATCAAACCATCAGACTAACAGGCATGCTGCGATGGCAGCGAGGTATGAGCCTGTTCGTGGACAGTTGAACAACGGATCGACATGGGACTCAAGGTCCCAAGCAGCAGACAGTGCAGCTTCGCAAAGATAGCCGTCAGCATCTGTAACTTACCAATCAGGAGGATAGAAACAGGCAATCGTCTGGTTTTTGCATGACAGTACCCATTAGGTGGATGCCATATTCAGCTTTTGCCCGACAGTGTATGATATCAAACATAGCCTTTGCCAGAGAACTCTGGTCTAGGCCTTGTATTATGTGGATGTGGATTGAGTGTTGGACAACTCTTCCTTATGTAAAAATTTCTAACGCTTTGTACTGCTGGACAACTCTTCCTTGTGTAAAAATTGCTGTTAGCAGTCAGTTTATAATTCGTAGTATGTGTAAATTAATTTGTGTAAGGTGTGATTGGGTTTATTTATTGTGTCTCCTTAAATTCATTACCCACAACACATGGCCACGTATCATGTAAATAAACTGCAATAGTTGGTCCAGGACACGCAGAAATTCTATCATCATGTAAAAAACTGGGACGTACAGTACAGTACCAAAAGCCGAGCAAACAGATTGAACAACACCAGAAGCGTCATCGCATACAGAAGTACCAGACACGAACAGATCGAACAACACCAGAAGTGTCACATACAGAAATACCAGGCACGCATAGACGATGAGCAACATACTCCATGTCACGGACCATCGAAGATGGCAAGAGACAGAAGATCTAGGGTCCGTTTGGTTCGTGTCCATAATCTGCCGCGCCGCATTTTAGGCATGCCAAACCGAGTTAGGTAGGTGTTTGGTTTACTACCCTAGGTTAGGCTGCCAAAGAATCTCCGGCGCTGCTGTAGTGCTTTGCCATAGGATTTTTTGCCGAAAGTGCGGCGAACGATTCCTTCGCCGCAACTCTGACGTGCCGACGCGAGCTGCCTTTAGCCCGGGAAAAAATGGCGCGTAACTTTGCCACGTGTGTGCATATATGGCGCGAAATTGAGCGCGGACCCTTTCGTGGATATTTCTTCACCGCTTATCCTTATCCTTCCTTATCTGTTCGTTGTTTGTTGTTGGGGGGAAAAGAACACCGTGCCCGCCGCCGCCGCCGCCGCGGCTCTCCACGGAACATGAGTTGTAGACCTTCATTCCTTCTTTCCGATGTCACGGAACATGAGTTGTAGACCCCTCTTCCCTGCGCAGAGAAGATGCTGCATGTTTCAAACACACAACAAGAGAACAAAAATGCTAGGCTGACCTAGCAAGTAGTCCTAGTACTAGAATGTCAGTTTTTTTAAGCGAGCATGCCTTCAAGCAAAGATTTGCTTACGATGAGGAACAAGCTGGAGGCGGCCAGGGCGAGAGGTATGCCGACGGACGTGATGGCGTCGTAGCGGCCCTTCGAGTAGGTGTGCTTGTGGACGTTCTGGAAGTACCTCTGCACCTCCAGCAGCTTCTCCCTCGGCCGGAACGGCGGCTCCACATCCGCCATCCTGCAGACCAGGAAACCGGTGCTGAGTAACCAAATCAGGGGGAGGGAGTGGGGGCATGTTGATTCTCGGGAGGAAGTGTACCGGAGAGTTGTGAGATGATGGTTCACAGTCACTCAAATTTGGCTGATGCTTATATTAATTTGTTATAAGAGAAAAATATTGTTCAATCGTTAAAAAATACTGTTGAGGTAGTTCAAGCACACGGAAAAGACAGTTTTGTATGTCGACCGTCAGTGTTGCTATACAGTACATGAATCACATTCTCAACCCGATTACTGGCTGTTGCTAGCCCTGTACCCCAGAATATTCCTCGCTTGGGAGGAAGTGGGTGCCACTGCAGTCTGCCCTGCCCCTGGCGGCCTGGCCGCTGAGCCTTGGAACGGATGCTCTTCTCTTTTCTACTAGTGATTTGCGTGCGCCCATGAGCGCGAGAAATAGCCGAAAATCTATCTGGGAAATGGCACAATACTGACAAATAACAAATATTATAGACGCCTAACTAAAATTGAGTCACCTAACTGACAGCTGTAATTATCAACGATGATAAGATATTGTTTTCTTAGAAACAAACGATGAAGAACACAACAGCGAGCATATATTATACGAAACATGGAGTTTGCCGTGGTAGTTGTCTTACATAATTTTATACAAAAGTGGCAACAGAACATTGCTAGCGATGCAGAATTCAGGAGCCATGCTAACACAACACGGATGACGCTCGCAGTGATAGATTGCACGCTTGGAGAGAATGTCGAAGGAAGGGGTGCTGGTTTCAGAAGTTGCACCGATCCTGTCAGGTGTAGCGCAGGGCCATTCAGGTCGTAGCTTGTTCGGATGGGGGGACATGTCCTGGTCGGCAGGTTCAAGAAGTCGGAGCAGCTCCGCACGTAGCTTGGACAAGGTCATGGACAGCTTGGAGTAAACCGACGACGGATCTGTGTTGCCGCTGCTGCAAATCGGCTGCTGGCGTGCTCTTTTTTCGCTGGCGATGCCTGCTTGCATGCGAGGAGGGGGACCATGGAGGACGTTTCAAGGCACACTGAATTGAAGGAGTGAAAAAACCGTTGTAGCGCCGTGTTCTTTGCACTGATATCTTGTTTCAGTTTTTTAGCTTTATCTTCAAATAGCATAAGCCATGTTTTAGAGAGAAGCATGTCGGCCTTTAGTTCTGAGACACGTTCAGCATTGTAGTCATCAATCTCAATCCGTTTCTCGTTTTCAAGGTACCTAAGTATACTGTGGTATGCATTCTCAATCGCTAAGTTCTTCGAGATTGCGGCACTGCCAATAAATTCTTTGGTTTCGATGTCATAGGAAACTCTTGCCAACATATTGCCAAGGGTTAGTCTACTGACGAATATGCCGTCGTCAGTCTGTGTGGTTGCCTCTGACTGGATGGCCAGCTTCAGCTCCTTCGTGGCCAGGGCGAACATCTCTTTTCTGCTGATCCTAAGGAGTCTGGGAATCTGAAATTAGAGGCAAGAAATATTTATCATCAAGCAACAACAGAGTCGGAACGTAGATGACCATGAGGGACTACGCAAGACTTTGTACCAGCGAGATCCGGTCATCGTCCTCCAGGAGCTGTAGATCTGAAGCATCTTCTGTGGTCTGTAGGTGTGTCATGGGCGCCGCATGGGGCTGGATCCGGGGCTGTTGTTTTTCGTCCTTTGGCGGGGTTATGGACTCTGGCAGGTGAGGGATGGAGGAAGCAGAGCTGGGACTCATGGCGAAGGGGGGTGACATGAGCTGGACACGGTAGGAGGTGTGGGAAGAAGGGAGAAGAAGAAGAAGAAGAGAGGCTTGGAGGTGGGCAGCGTTTAGGAATGAGGTGGAGGACGACTCAGCCTCGCTGAGCAGAGTCTAGATCGGAGGGCAATGTGGGTCCGGGGCTCTGGGTGTTGTCGAGAAGGGATTGGTCTACGTGCTGGGCAGGTAAGGTTGTGGGCCAGAGGAACTAAATATTACAGGAGTCTACAGGAGGTTGCTGGGCAGGTAACGTAGGTACCAGATGTCCAGATAAGAACTAAATATTACAGAGGCTACATAGATGTTCAGTTTGCCAGAATGGGCAACGGTGGATTGACAGCCATACCGGAGGCATTCACGGGAGGGATGGATCTTTTTTTTAATTGGTACACATCAGGGACAATGCATTCCGTTTGGCACGGATGAAAATACATGTTTATGTTGGCTTTTTGCAGCATTGTTTGAAGATCACAGCTAAAAACGAGGAAGACAATACATTAGCAGGCTCAACATGCCAATATTCGATCAGATGCCTAGAACGTCGCCTAGCTCATGTAGGATACTTTCTATCATGATATAGGCTGCTATATATTGGAGACCACAACAAATTCAGCACAGAAACAAATAGAGTAACATATAGGAACAGTTTCTCGCTGCACTAAAGAGTCTAAACAGGACACCAAATTTAAGCTACATCAGTTTGACCAGGGAGCTAAGCAAGGACACAGCCTTCCTATTGTCGATTCAGCGACGCTAATTGTTTCGAGGTGCATGCCCGTGGAACCACGACATAACCAGGGAACATGCACGAGGCCAGCAAGAGGGCCACTAATAAACTAAAGAGTTTACATACTCATGCCCAGTTCAAGGGTCTATTAAAAGAAGTTGTTGCTGCCTGGGGGCCGATACAGGGGCCAAGCTAACAGACAGAGAATGACGGGTTAATTTCCGTTGCAGAGGATACCACGCCACCAAAAAAAATAGGCAGAAGTCTTCTCTGGACGGCAGGTGTTAGTGAGCCAGTCCAACCAAAAGCATGGGAGCCGCTGAATGTACCTGCGGACAATAATGGATCTTTCTTAATTTGCAAAATCTATCGATTCCAGGAAGAG